TCGAAAGAAACTGTAAATTTTTAATTTTTGAACTTGTACCGGGAAAACACGAAAGTTGTGACGTCACAACTGTGTTTACATACCCTCATGCAAACATGGCTATCAACCAATCACAGCGTGCGTACTATTTAATTTATTTTATAAAATATAATATCATTACTTACGCATGAATGTTTAAATTGTTGCGGCCAAAAAGGGTCTTTTGTTTGCCCCAAAAAGAACAGCATTGTCTCCGTTGCAGGCAGCAAACTGTTCGAGAGCAATAAGCCGCAACTCGTAAGTCGAGCAGTCGAGCAGTCTTTTCATCTAGAGCTTCTGCTCTATTCTTCGCGGCCAGTCTTGCTCCCACAACTAAATTTGGGCCTATTAGCCCAGTGATGTCTACATCGTTGCAGCAGCTATTGACAAATCGCAATACATTTTTGCTTCTGCCCTTATAATTCTTTTATGTTGTCATCGTGAAATTTTTTAAACGTGTGCCGAATGATTGAGCCAGCTTGACACCGACCGGATAGGAAGCTATTTTTTAATGACGTGACAACTACATGACAACTACATGAATTTATTGACCACACAATGATAAATGCTGAAGATTTCAGTAAAGAATAAGAAGAATTTGCATTTGTGACCCTATTTGCGAAAACCAGGCTTAAGAAAATTTGCGTTAAAATGCATTTCAATGCATTCTGAACGAATTGCAGTGCATTGAGAATGGTATTCAATGCGTTCCAACGATCTGATAAAACGTTGAAGTGAATGAGCGAATATTAATCAATGCGTTGAAAATGCTCTACAGCAATCTGATAAAACAGGAATGTTCATAATGCGTTGCCAACGTTCGCCAACGATCTAAAAGAATGTTGAAATGCATTTGGAATACTTGCCTCGACGCATTAGGGATGTTCTAATAATGTTTCGAAATGCATTGGAAACGTCCACCAACGATCTAACAGAACGTTCAAATGCATTGGAAACTTTCCTGAATGTTTTTTGATGCATTGTCATTACATTGAAAGTCAATTATTATATTAATTTTACTGAACTCTTACAGTAACAAGATACACTAATTTCAATAAAGTTAGTCACCTGAAAAGCTACAAAGCTGAGACCGACAAGGATTATGGGTAGATACATTTTACATGTTTCAACCGCTTGATAACTGTTGATGGACTTGAGATCTTCTACCAGCTACAAGTTAACCTCCTTTGATCATCCTCAACTGCTGCAGTATGGTCAAAAGCTTTTACTTGTTGGATATAAAATATTTCCCATGATTCTCAGCGATCACAGCTTTCTAGGTTTTTGGTGACTAACTTTATTGAAATAAGTATAGCTATGCTGACTGAAATCTTCAGAAACCTATTCATAATCACTTAACAGATTTTGTGGAGTATTTGCCGCTTGATAAGTAACACTACTATCGTCACCATCGTGGTATTTTGGCGTTCTTGGTGGTCTTGTGCTATGTTTCGGTACTCAAATATTTCCTAAAAAATGTATGTGAGCTTATTGCAAAGGTCCGAATACACATAATCCTTGTAAGCATTCAAGGAATTACAACAAGAGTTGCGGTGGTTCAGTGTGTTTACGAGAAGCTTTCTTAGGTACTAGCTTGCTAAAATGGGTGTTATTTTGATAGACTTTCAAAGTAAAGCGCAATATGCATGCTGCAATATTTTTCCGCACCTATTTACTTCTCGAATGTTGACTTGTCACTGCGGTCTTATACGAGCAAAACGGCGCCTAAACTACTTCTTCGAGACATGTTTGGCATTATGTTACTCTTATCACAATAGAAACGATTAATACAGAAAGCGTATGTAATTTGTGGTGTTAGGAGCGCTAATAACGCCAGTTGTTTGTAAACACTTATCCATGAAGTAGGTCAAGTAGCATGGAGTTCTCTCGAAGTGAACATGGCTTATTCCTTTGATACAAAAGTTTTTTACTATTTAATTTCGCATTGCGCTGAACTATGGACATAAAACCAAGTGAAACTTATTCAAAAAGCAGTTAAGGATTGACAAAAATTTTTTTTACCCAGAGCAAGTACTAGCAAGGGTGTGTAGCTAGTGATATTAATAGACAGGCAATAGAACGGGATATCGTGACCCGCAAAAGTATTTCACAAGTATAAGCGCAAATGCTGGCGAGTAGTTTATTATTTTATTGTAAATAAGTTTACAATTTTCAAATATTCTGAAATTTATTGTCAGTTTAACCAAAGTATTAAAATACCCACCAAAATGTTGGAAGGCCGCGTGACAAAGTTTTTTGTACAACTGATGTATATCTAAAGGCCTGTCACATGCACAAACTTACCGCCTATAAAAGAACTTAGACCAATGTAGATGACCACGCTTGGCGGCTTCGTTTGAAATTCCTAGTCTAGGCGCCAACTGTGACCAAAACTCCTTCAAATCAAATTATTTTTAAAAATAAGTAAAAAATGATAAAGATTTTTAGCGATGTGGTTAGAAAGTGAATAGCTTTTTAAAAATATTTCACAATTACTAATGATAGCATGTCCAAAACCAATTTTTAACTTAATTTGTCTTGTGAAATCGGAGTTTTAATCGGAGATTTGAAATGTAAAATGATATGGAGTCCTGAAAACTACATTGAATCGATTTGAATTCCCAAGTTTACCGGGTCACGCGTGATTTAGATGTAAACATTGATCAAGAATACTTTTAATCATCATCCAAACTAGGCTCAGCATCCCTCTGCCAGACTTGTTCTACATCTTCTAATCCCTGATCTACTGTGGGCATTTCCTTCGCAGAACTGTCTTTTCGCTTAAATCTAACCTCGCGGCACTTTGCGTTGACGGTGTTACGAAAGGTCTTATCGCTGGGACTGAGACCACTTTCAGGATATACTGCGAATGCTAGGCCTGTGGATTGAAAAGGAAAAATATTTAGGATAATTGAAGTATGTTTTACTTTGACTTGAGTCAACCTACCCAAACTATGTGTATTATGTCGTAAATGTTTAGGTATAGAAAAAAATACTTAGCCTGAACATCAGTTGCCTTCTCTGGGTAGTGTCGTTTCTTTTTCCGACACATTGTGAAGGAGACTGCTGTTATTCAGCCTTAAAAGTACACTAGTAATGGTGAACGACATACGTTTGACAAGTTCGGATTTCCCACTGTCTAGCCGTCTTTTGTTCCGTTTTCCCTCCAGGTTCGATGACGCCATTTCTTCGGCAGTGAAAACCGCTTCCATACAATCCCTTATGAACGGTCCCCTACCACAGGAGTCGTCCCTGGCCTTTTTTATTCTCTCTGCCTGCGACGAAGGTAAATCGGAAAGAAGTGGAGAAATAGATGCTCATGGATGTGTTAATCATGTCCCCAGGCGGAATAGGAACATAGTTCGAC